AGCCATGAACTGAATTCCTCCACTCACTGTTTCACTTAGAGGTGATCTACAGGCTGTTAGACTAGGCCATAGTGTTAGAAAGACTCTGGTGAACACAGGGTGAAAAATCTTGTCATTCCTAGCTTGAGACACTATTGTCAAGGTATAAGGAAAAACTTGATTTACTTTATGCATTCATTCATTCATTTTTATAATTTTAATGCTATTTAAAGTAAACACCATTGTGCTTATAATCACCTACAAGGCCATACAAATATGGTCTCTCTTCCCTATCCATATCCCCATCTTTTGCTCCCACCTATGGCCTCCCTGGTTTTCTTTGAACACACTGAGCATGCGCCCACCTCTTGGCCTTTGACCTTGCTGTTTCCTTGTGTAGGATGCTCTTCCCCCTCTATATGCCTGTACTCTGCCTGACCTCTTTCAGAGCTCCATCCAGTTGTCACTTTATCACTGAGGCCTTCACTGAGCCCCCAGTTTAAAGACTCCTGCATCTACATCTCCCAATCCCAGTGCCCCTATTTGCTTTAACACTTACCACCCACACAACTTGATATTTTACTTGCTTATTTGTTTACTGTCTTTCTCTATTCACTAGAATATGAAGACCAGGAGGGCATGCATTTTTTGTTTAGTTTGTTCACTGCTGTATCCCCAGTGCCTAGAACATTGCCTGACACTCTGGGCATTCGAAAACTATTAAATGGATGAGTTAATAAATGAACTCAAAAGGATTCACTGAACAATTACTACGTGCCAACTACTATGCACGACGCAAGACATTTAGAGTAAAGAAGTAATCAGACAATTACAGTACTGTTGGTAACCTCTATGAAAGCAGTTCTCTCATAGGGGGGCTTGGAAGAACAAAAGAAGGGGACATAACCCCAAGGGCGGGGGTACTGAGCTCTGAATTATGGAGTGGGTGGAAGAGAGAGGACCAGAGAGAAAAATGCCCATTATAGAAGCCAACATCCAGAGGTGTAGAGATATGAAAGCATGGCTTATGTGGTGAGCAGCTATTGCAAAAGCTTGGGCTTTTCTCACAAGCTATAGAAAGCCACTGAAGGATTTTTCACCAGAGGGGACGTATGAACCCATTAGCCTTTTACAAAGCTCCCTCGAGGCAGTGCTGTGTAGAGTGGACCTTAGGTGGATGTAACATTAGCTAGTGAGAGAGACGCAGGTTTGAACAAGGGCATAACAAGGCAGCTGAACAAGAGGGCCGGACCAGAGAGAGATTCTTGAGCAAATACCTGGTGGACTTGGAGCAGAAGGAGTAAAAATGATCACTCTCGGGCCTGATTAACACACTTTTGGTAAAGATAATCACTAAATGGGACTATCGCATTTCTTTAACTTACTTGCTCACCATGTTCTACACAATATTTTACATGATCTTTAGAAATGGAATCTAGCAGGGGTGGGGGTAAATAGGAAAGAAAATCAAGTGCACAATGAAAATTTCTGACTCAATTTATGAGTTTTAACTTTGCATAGCTCTCCATGGCCTCTTCTGAAAGATCATGAAGACTTTAGTGTAAAACTTAATTTGCAGACAAGTGATATTGTTACTTTGCTCTTAGAAGTTTTCAGTGGCTCATTCGTGTTTGTTTGTCTCTTGAATAAAGTTATGTCCGTTATCCAAAATCTTTCAGTGGAAAAAGTTTACATATTTTACAATACCCAGAACCCATTTTGAAAGGAGATTATTTTAAGGTACAAATTATATTTTTACACTTCTGGGGTTACACTTAAACAAATATAGCTTAATATGTTGACGTTCTATATGCGACACAGTTTTTAATCTTCAGACATATACAAAGAAATTTTTGTGAAAAGTAGAAGAGACCAGATTATTCCCATCTTACTTGGTAGTATACAAAGCATATGCAAATAGAAAAGTGCCTGCCAAGAAAATATCTAAGAAAGGAACAACTCACTGATTAATAAAAATGGACTAAAAAATGGACTCTTTGGCTTGGAAATCTATTTGATCCAAACTTATTAAGTCATGGGGATAACAATAATGTAATTATTTTAGAAATCTCAGAACACACAAAAAAGTGACTTTAATTTTAGGAATAATAAGAAGCAGCAGTTTGGTGAGTAATGCACTTATGACATTCTTTATCCAAGTCATTATCATAATGACTTTTGAAGCAGGCTGAAAATATAAATAAGAAAAAAGATGAGATGAGTTAGTGAATGGTTCTGTGGCATTTGCCCATTACTTTATATGTTTATATTTGTGCTAGAAACTACAAAACTAATCAAATATAGAAATCTTAACTGGTAGCAACATACCCTAACTTCAAAATCAACAACATCATAAATATAAAATGGTATTATTAATCTAAGGATACTCAAAGCATATACTTAAAAGCAAAGTGTTGATCAGTAAAATAACTGTTCGGCGCGCGTGTGTGTGTGTGTGTGTGTGTGTGTGTGTGTGTGTGTGTGTGCGTGTGCGTGCATGCACGCACACACATGTATACTCTCTCAAATGTGTGTCTGTACCTTATCTTTGACTCTGCTGTATTCCCAGTCCCCTCCTGGTAACGGACGACACTATCCTTGTCTTGCTGTCACTTTTCCTGCCAGGTCAAAGGAGAATAAGCACATTTTGGGTAGATGAGAATAGATCCTCAGCAACATAGTTGTGAATAATCTACAAGACACATATTCACAATTCAAAATTAATGTTATATCCTAAACACTGCTTTTATTTTTTGAGCTTAGCAAAAATAGCAGCAGTTTCCTACCAGTGAAGAAAAACACATTTTCTTTTTAGCAATCCTTTGACTTTCATTAAACAGTCTCCTAAAATATTCAATTAACATAATTTTATGGATTTCAGAGTTATGAGTAGTCTTTCTAAATCTCTGCTCTAATGTGATCATGCAACAGAGACCAAATTAGAAAATACCAGATTTGTTAGTCTTTAGTTAAAACATTTTATTTAAAATTTGCTCTTATTTTTGTAGAGAGCATTCCCTTCCAGGGTTATACATCGATGTAATGAAGTATCCAATTTTAGTGAACAATATTGTTTCAAGTGGCAAAGTTTGGTTTATAATAGGAAACAAACCTTTTGAATTGAACATATACATTCTCAGTCTAAACATTGAATTAATGTACTTTTTGTTATGTGATTTGCTTTCTAACATCAACATTTTAAGAAGTGAAATACTCTGGAGACGCTTGGAAAAATGGAATCACAGACAGTGATAAAACCCAAGGCTTTTCCTCAGTCTCAGATCTCCTATCACTATTCACTACAGCTTCCAAATTCTGCCTTTACTTAGCACCAACATTCCCTTCCCAAACAATTTACCCAAGTGAGGAAATGATTACACATGTTTATGTGCTAAGGGGAAGGAACTAGTGGAAAGCAAGAGGCTCTGATGCGGATGCGGGCATAATTGATTTTCTCAAATCCCCGAGGGTGGAGGCAAGGATGGATTCCAGAGTCTACGTGGCGCGTTCGCTTTGCATGGGAGCCTCTTCTTCCTCTGACACAGGAGGGAGGTCCAATGGGTTTGAATTGATGAGAGATATGGTGTTGAGGGAGTTTACACCTGATAGCCTCTATTTTCTCTGCAAAATCGGAAACAGGGAGAATTTTAAATAGAACGAGTGCAATGGGTGGTGAGAATGCCTGACCACACAGATATGTCAGATAATAAACTCATTAAGAAGTTGGTTGGTTGAATAAATCTAAAAGGAATACACACACACACACACACACACACACGTATATATATATGGTAGTGTACAGTGTACCTTCAATAATCTAAAGCTGAGGAAATGATATGAGATTATTAGTCTTGTGAGGATTACAAAATAATTTGAGGAACAGATTCTTTGAATGTTCCTAAACATTGTGTATTTTTAATTTAAAAAAATGCATGATCAGTTCTTCTTCTAATGACCACTCCAGTGCTTTATTTAATGTTTTCAGAGTATGAATGTAAGATGCTGATTAACTGAAATGTCTGTCACACATTGAAAATAAGCTACCCATTAGTTAAGCGTAATGGAATAAAGAGTTTTTTATATAAAATGATAGAGTACAGCTTTGTTAAAATATACTAAAATTTAAAGTATTTGTTTTAATTGAAAGAAAATGCTTAATATTTTTATTTAAAAATAGATGTGAATGGTTAGAATTATAGCTGTATCTCTTTGGGGTTCTTTTCCACTGTCCCAAAGCCATGCCTTGTTCTAAATAAAGCCAACAGAATCCCAACACTGACTTTGTGGTTGAAAACTTGCAAAGTCTCAGAACTGCCACATTTCCATTGTATATGTAAATATTTCCATTCATCTTCCTAAATATTATATTTCTTCCTCCCTCACCCCGTCCCTTAGTATTATAGTGTGTGCAACAGCTAACAGCATCTTTTGTTCCATTTTCTGATACACACTAGATGCCACAGTTGACCTTTTCATCCCCTAGTTTGTAAACAAGTTTCTGTGCAGGTCAATAGGCCACACTTCATAAGAGGAAGAATAGAATGAAACATATTTATTTGTAATGCTGTTCAATTATTTCCTTTGCAAATCTGCTGACTGAAGTTTTGAAAATGCAGAGGTCATATGATATATGTGTCAGTTCGTGGGGGAACTGAGCTGCATCTTAACTGCTTCTAGCAGCACCATCCCAGTCTCCTAAATGAGACTGATGTGATAGATTTGCAGGTATTTGAAGAAACAGGTGCACTGGAATAACAAAGATTCTTTCTCTCTTAAAGGAAAAAATTTGGAATCTTACTGCATATGCCGATTGTTCTCCAAAAGAGAACACAAGAGAAGGAAAGATTTCTTGTGTACTTCCAAATGAAACTTTTCATTTTCCTTGATATAGAAACATGAGCATATTTCATCACAGCTAAGAGAACCTTATAGAATAGCACAGTTTTAATTGGTAATTTAAGTTTAAATGGTCTTTTAAGTTTAAATGGTTACGGTATTATGTTAATTGATTTTTTTTTTAGGGTCCTTTGGGGCCTCCAGGACAAAAGGTAGAGTATAAACAATTCTGTGAAAGTAATTATGCTCCCAATGTCTAATGGCTAAGCATAAGAGGTGAATGGCATTAGCGACTGTAAACCATGCTGAAACACTCTGGTTTGTGCAGTCTGCTTTCTAAAGATACAATCAAATAACATGAGCCATTAGATTTCTAATCTGCTCCATTATAGAAAATCCAATAAATCCAGAGCATCCTTTTTTTAAGCTGTCTGCCAAACCTGAAGGTTATTGAATTTTTAATTCAAATACTGGTAAAACACAACAAAACTTAAAATGTGAAGGGTCATAGGATGCATAGCCTTGCTTAAATATTTGATTGTCAAATGACCATAGAACTGACCAGAGCAAAGGATGTACTTGTTTCGTGGTGACTGTTTTGGAGTGGCCCAGTAGTGTCTTCTTTTGCTGAGGTAACCTGAAAATTGACTTCTTGACTGTCATGTCAACATTTATCCACAGTCATCAGAATTGACCATTATATTCTGATGGAGAGGGTCTAGAACTTCTAAAATTAATCAGTACTGCAGTCATAAATATATCAATAACAGGCGATGGCCCTTTGCCAAAAAAATATAACTAAGTCCTCATTCCTCATTACACCTCCCACCCTGCAAGAGGGGTGGGGGGAGGGTGCGGTGGAAAGGATATTTAACCTGCAGAAAACTAAAGAAAACAATTGTATTACAACAGGTGGAAAAGTGATTATCTTTATCTTTGGAATCCATCAAAGATAGAGACTTTTTATCCTCAAGCATTGGGCATGTGGCATCTGTTGAAACATAATCCTACAAACCAAGTAAAAGCCAATGAGTTGTGAGACAATTTGTGTATAGGAACACTTTGTCCTCCGCAATAATGTCTCTATTAAGCTTGGTGTGAAATTGTAAAGCTACCCTAATCCACATGCAACCGGGATAAAATTACTGCCTCAGGCTTCGGGAAGTCCTTTAACAGCCCACTCAATACAATCATGGAAAGCACCAATGAACTTACCATCTCAATTTATTTTGCATATAATGACTATCTTTTAATGGACTTTATTTTTCAGAGCAATTTTAGATTTATAGTTAGTATTTAAAAACCTTTTTCCCATTATTACTAAGAAATCTAATATCCATCTACTACGAAAAAGCTATTTTCTAGTGTGAGGCAAAGAATAAGCACATTGTCTTTAAAAAAATGGTTTCTCCAGAGCATAAAAGGGAGGTGTCCAGAGGGAAATAACATCACTATTTAAAAGCATTTGTTAATGTTACTGTATCCAGTTAAATGTCATAGATTTTCCTCAGGTAACAATTAGCTCTCTTATTCTCAGTTAACCCTACTTATGTCCAGCCATTGGTATTCACCCCACTGTGCATTTGCAATTAATATTTAATGAACAGAAGCCATGTTGTTCCTAGTCAATACTTAACAGTTGTAACACCTTTTCTAGTCTACTTTGCAAGCCATATTCATACTCATGTGGCCTAAATGTACTCCCTGAAAGTCGGGGGGGGGGGGGGGAAATGCTGCAAATACAACAAATTTGAGTTGACGATATGCATCCCTTATTTGGCTAATTGTTGAACAAGTAGTTGTTATTTTCGTTACCTTTCGTTTTATGGTATTTAAACTCATGAAACACAAGAGTTACTGCTACTGCTAAGCTTTTTCCAGGTGGAACTCAGCCTCTTTATTTCCTAAAAGCACTCAAATTTAGAGCCATGTGGTCTTGTGATAGCCATGGATCTCAATTTATGATGTGTCTTTCTTTAAAATCATATTACAGTTAAGTGGATAATTAGAAACATGGTTAAATTTAACTCCATAGTTTCTGGGAAAGTTTGATGAATCTGCTTACATTATGGTATGTGGATAAGGACTGAGAAATATGGCCTCCCAGATATGTTTTAACATGGTAAAGTTATGGCTGCTCCAACTAATACAATATAAATTTAGAATTGAAATATTTGTGATATCAATTTAATGTAATCATGTGTCTCCTTAGGGTTCTGTTGGAGCACCTGGAATTCCAGGGATGAATGGGCAAAAGGTGAGTTCTATTAAATATGGTGTTTTTGATCATTTGGAGGTGATTAAAATTTCAAAATTATTTCAGTCTATAATGTTAGTAATAAGTTATGTGCTTATTAAACCTCTACATATATTTTTTCCCATCCAAGTACTAAGCAGGCCTGACCCTGCTTAGCTTCCGAGATCAGCCGAGATCGGGTGCATTCAGGGTGGTATGGCCGTAGGCTCTACATATATTTTTTAAATTTAGGGAAATTATGGTGCAAATGATCAAATTAGTTTAATTTTTAAAGGTGCATTAAACAGTCAGAAACTCTTAGAAAAATTTCCATTTTATTTTGATAAGTTATATAGGAGATACAACTATATCTCATAAATATATGTGGAGTCTGGAAAATGCTATGTTTAACATAAATTGTGATAAACAAAATGCACTCTAGTTTATTCTTATCATGGCAAAAGCAATATATATTATTTCTTTCATTAACAAAAGTTATTCTTACAGAGGGAATCTATTGGAATTTTCTGAATCCAGAAGCAAGCTCTTTTTACTATAAAGCAAAATTGGGAATTAAATAGACTTTCTAAGCTCTGGTAGTACACTTTTAGTGTACTGTTAATAATGAGGGGGGGAAATCAAGTTTTAAAAAAAAATAGAAACCCTCACAGTTCTACATAGATGTATCTATGGACATGTGTACTTTTATCCCTGCAACATATTTAGTAGTTGGAAAAAGCACCTAGCTTTATCCCAAAGGTAGGTCTGGTATTCTGTGCTCTCCAACAATCCTGACTGGCTCTTCAATCTGGAACCTCTACAGAGACCAGGAAAGCCGTGGTGGCCGCTAATAAAGCCGCTAGCTGGGCCAGTGTTCTGGGAGCCAGGGAGCTGAGCTAGGGACTTTCCTGTCTCCCTCACAGGTTTTGGCCTGGCTCTGTGAAATCCCGTGACCCATCAGCTTGTCCTCCCAGAGGATTTTAAATCCATGCACTCTGGATTGAATTCTGAAATCATAAGGAGCCCAGCCCTTACAGACAGAATAAACCCCCTCATGACCTTCTCCATCTTGTCCATCTTTTCTTCTCTAATAAGACACCAACAATCACAATTTAAAGCCTACTGAGTGGCTTACGAGCATGAGTCTGCCACTGAGAGACAGTGAATTTTGACAAAATCTTTGAATTCTCTGGCCTCAGTTTTCTCATCTGTAAAATGGAGAGAATAGCAATTTCAACCTAATAGGGCTATGTGAATAAATAGATATAAAGCCCTTAGGACAGAGTTTAATGTTACTATTACACTTTTTCCTTCATTTTTCATTTCAGTGAAATTCTGGAAATTTGATTAATGTTTGATTATGTTTTCAAAGAGGCTCTCTGTTTCCAGAATTACTCAAATCCCAAGTGAAATTAATGTTCTCAGCCAAGACTCGCAGTGTCTTTCAGTCCACACTCATCAGTAGTGCACACTCATCAGTAGTGAGCTGTCCATGCCACAGCTGTTTTCATTTCAGTGAAATCCATATCCATTTGTTTCACAAATCCTGGTGAAAAGGGGTTAACTTTCTGTTTAGAACATTGCAGATCACGGAGGAAAACATAAGCAACAATGTGAAAGTGTATTCATTAGAAGATGATATTTAGAAAGGACATTGTTTTTAACTTTGGTGAAAAACAAAAGTTGTATACCTAAGGTTAATGTTTTGCTTTTTCTTCTTTGTTTCTTTTCTTTTTTCAACTTTGAGACAATCAGAAAATTTATAGAAACCTTTAACCTGAAACAAAACAACTTTAAAACTGTCACATATATGCTAATGAGGAACGCATAGTCTTTATTTTTGCAAAGGAAATATGCAATTTCCTTAGCAAGAGAAAGGAATGTGACATTTTCTTGTCCTAGTCACCAAGTTTAAATTATATTGCAACTAAATAGACAGTTAAATATTTGCAGTTTTATGTCTTGTTATACATCTTTCTGGCTTTTAAAGTGTTTTTCGTAAAACCTAGGCAAGCTAAATGATTTCACAGTTTTATGAAGGTATCAGCAAAATATAGTTTAAATTTGTTTTTCCCACTCTACAGAACTTTACCTAAAAGTTTGTGTGTGGAATTTCTGTTAATCCTAGTCAGTATGTAACATTTGTAATATTTAGTGTATCCATTTTAGGAAAATAAAGTGCAAAAACTGAGTCCCCTTCACTGAAACAGCAGGTCATTTAGACAGTAAAAAACAAAGTTCTAAATAGAGTTAATAGTTCTACACTTGGAGCATATGAAGTAAGTCTTGGATCTCCAGAATTTGCTTCTTTAAGAAGAGAGCTTACAATGAGACTATTTTTTTTAAATACCTCAATGTCCTCTAACTATCTTGAGAAAACATTTTTTCCACATTACAATTTTGCTTTTTCCAAAGACATATTGTTAATGCATAGAAAATAGTTTTCAGACAATAGTTAAGGAGTATATTATTTCTAAGCCATCAGAAATATGGCAAATAACTAGAAAATAACACGATTTTTCTCCTACAAAAAAAGAAAGAAAACTAAGAAATATTTTGTTTTTCACTGGAACATTTTCCATCCATTCAAATTAACAAAATTGGTGATTGGCTTTGGCTAATATACTTGGTGGTGACATTTTTTTTTTTTTTTACTTTCCTTATTTTTACTGCTTTCCTTTAAATTTTGGTCACCTTGATTGCTAATCTGAGTATTTCTAATTTTTGTAATGGTCTTCCAGTTCTTCAGATCATATTAGAAAAAAAGACTTACATAAGCAGTAACATGGCATTCAACTCCAATCTAGCTCCTTCCGGCATCACAATCTACGATGGGCTACTAAGCAACCTGCTGTGAAAAATGGGATGGACTCTGCTGTCGGAGAGAGAAGGCTTCAAGCCTCTGTCCGCGACTGGGCAAATGACTTAACATTTCTAAGGCTCGAGTGTAAAATACAAATACAGATCTTGCAGTATTAACTAGATCACATCTCTAAAGTGAATGTAATGTAATAGGCACTCAATAAATGTTATCAAGTCTCTTAGCAGTATTATCACACTTGAAGCGTTTTAGCAAATGAACCTTAGTCTTACTTTCAAGTTGGGAGTAGAAGCCAGTTGACTTTATGATAGGGAGAAAAATGAATATGCAAAATTACACATAAATGTAATATGCAATATATAAATATAAACTATTTCTCTGTCCCTTGGCTCCGTCCCCAGCCCCTGCAAGCCCCATCCCAGGTAGTTCGCTGGGATGGAAGGACGATAGATATGGGAAAGAGAAAGACATGTCTCGTTATCTGAAAGCCCAGCCACCAGCATGGGATAGTGTGGGAGCACCGTCCTGGAGTCCGGGTGCTCTGTGCTCTTCCACCTCACGTGCAGCCTTTGAAAGGCCCTTTTCCTCTCTGGGTCAAGAGGTCTCGTTTGTAAAATGCAAGAGAGTGCTGCACTAATTTATCTCTAAGGCCCTTCAAAAAGTCACCATATCTCATGTCCTCTCTTTCCAATTCTGAAAGCTTTTGTTTCCATAATTTGTATTTATTTTTAATAGCTGAAGCAGTTAGGGCAGATTTAATGGGGTCTTACCTAAAAATATGAAATGCTGCCCTCTTCTCCTCTGGCTAATTGTATTGTACACAAAAAAATTTGTAATTCTCATGAATAGATCTTGTTTGTAAAGGTATAGTCAATATTTTATTTGTGTCCCATGATCCATCCCTTCTCTCTTACTCCCTCTCTTTCACGCTCTCTCTCTTTGTCTCTCTCTCTCCTCTCTCTTTCACACACACACACACACACACACACACACACACACACACAGATGTATATCTGAATATTTGTCAATTAAACCCTACTTCTCAGATATACTAGGGAAGTTAGCTTTTAAAAATAATTTTGTGGTAGACCGCTTTTAAACTGAAGCATCTTTTGACAAAATACATGGATATATATGTATACACATATGTGTATAACTTTTAAATTTCAATCTTTAATCAGTGTCATTAGAACCCTGTCTTTTTCTACTCTTTCTGTGTTTTCACATTAATTGGCATCCATAAGAATAAATAATCATAATGACAATTTATTTGACTAGCAGTCAGTGCCCAGCACTGTGTAAATGCCATAGAAGAGGAGGTCTGGGAGAGAGATACAGTACATTAGAAGTCTAATTTGTGCATCTCTTAGTTCACACCCTTGTCACTATGAAAATAATGGTAGAGTTTCAAGATTATAAAGAAATTATTTTGTCTGAGCAAGCTAGAATTGTTCTGAGGCCCCAGAGTCATAAGGATTGTCTCCAAAGCAAAAGATAAATATCAGATGATCTTGTTCCATGTAGTTTTCAAGTATTTTCTATAATTTATTATTTTTAAGGCTTCAAAATATAATATAAATAGAAAATTGCTATTAGCGTATCATCTATGACTCGATCCCAGATAGCTATGTGATTTTTAAGCCACATTAATTTTTAATTAGTTTATAGTTATGGTATTTAGAGTTCCTTTTCGTCTCTATTCATGGGCCTCACAGTTCTTCACTGACATTCATCCTTATAGCATACTTCTAATGGCATTTTTATTGTAAGTATATTTCGAGAGCAGATAAATTAAAGCTCTCAGGCTTCCAAAGGTCAAGCTGTTTATTCAAGTCTATACAGTGGGTTATGCAATGAACTCAATATTTTTTGTTCTTGACTTCCTTACTGTAACCACTAAATACACTTTTTTTTTTTTTTTGCTGCTTTAACTCTTTTATTGAACAGTCTGAACTAAATTCCTAAGGATTTGAATATGTTATAGTTCTGTATATTTTCTGGGTAGTTAGCTTAAAATTTTTCTGTAGTGGAATTTGTGATCTATTACCCACTACATTTATGACTTTTTGATTTTAGATTTTATTTTAAGTAAAGATGTTTAGAGTACATGAAGTGATTGATTTCTGATCCCAGATTGATTAGTAGTTCACGAAATGTATCTTACAGTAATTTAGTCCTTTTGCAGGTTAAACTTGAGAAA